AGGATAAAACTGTGGGACATATGAGTAGGGTAAAAATATAAGAATTAAATCAACCCAAAATGTATTGGTTATACTACAATCACAAAATAAATGGGCAGATGCTTCTTCAACAAGACCACAGAATGAATTTTTATCAATATCAATTATTTACAGATAGATGAATTGAACATGTCACTCATATCTTTTGCTTTTAAGTTGTTGTGCTTGTTGTTACATCGTAGGCCACATGATAACGTCAACATGGCAGATGATGTCCGGATCGCATTCATACTTAACACATTCAGGCTATATAGTATGTACTCTTTTAGCGCTCGTTAAGTAAGTATTTATTGAATGCTGATTGGTTTCTTTTCACATCAGCAGCCAATGAGCTTCCTGCTGAACATTCAAATACTTGGCTAGTGTTTGCTGCAACAGTTGCAGCACGCTTCAGAAGGCATCTGAAATCAACATTTAAGATAAGTGAACATTATTTTACATCATTTCTGTTACATGTTCCCTGTGTGTCTGTTCTGCCCCTGTCTTACCCTCATTAGTTGCCATAGTCACTCATTGGACCCTTTTGTTCTCCTGTGTATAAATAGTCCTTGTGTTTCCCTTATGCCTTGTCAGTTGTTCTATGTATGTATGTTCATGTTTTGGTTCTTTGTTCATTGTTCCTTTGTTCTTGTTTTGTCATTGAAACTACCTGCATTTAGATCCACATTCCCTGCCTGCTTGCTTTACCTTCTCTATGTTACAGAACAACTGACCGTCAACTATGGATCTAGCAGGTATGCGGCTTCTTCTCCTGCACCAGGGCAAGCGTTCCCTAGAGGACCACATCCGTGAGTTTTTGGACTTGGCATACCACACTCACTTTCCAGACAGTTCACTATTTACCTTCTTCCGTACTGGACTCAATTAACCCTTAAAATCACAACTACTCAGTTATGGTCCTTGAGGGACCTTCTGCGAGTTTGTGGATCTCTCCAACTGGATCTCTCCAACTCCGTGGATCTTCCTTCACTGTGGGGAAGGTGGAGGAAGATTCCAACATGGTTGCTCCAGAACCCCTTAAACATTTTTAGGGGACAGCCATATTCGATAATAAAGGCCTGACAATTGGTGGCATACCCATTCCTCCTTCGCATTGGTGTAGGAGTGGTGTTCGCCATTTGAAAGACATTTATAATGATTCTGGTTTGTGCTCTTTTCAAGATATTGCAAACTCATTTAATTTGCCAGCCTCCTAATTTTTCTTTTATTTACAGCTCAGATCGGCCCTCAAAGCATATGGTGTACCTTGGCAACAACCTTTGTGTGTACACCCATTGTATGAATTGAGTATTGCTCAAGGAAATAATAGAGGCCTGGTGTCCATATTATATAATTGTATTTATTTACTTATGCTAAACTGCCTTTTAGATAGGCTATGGAGACGTGATTGCCTGCATTTGGATCAAGATTTTACTTGGGAGGATGTTTGGGTAAATATAAAGGAGGCCTCTCGTAAACCTGACCACCAGCAGATTCATTTCAACTTTGTACATAGAACATATTTAACCCCTCGCAAGCTACATTTAATGAAGAGATTAACCGACCCAACCTGTACCCTATGTGTTCTGAAGGTTCCCGGTACTTTCTTGCACATGATGTGGGAGTGTCCGCCTGTTGCTCAGTTTTGGACTGAGGTAGCATCCAGATTGTCTGATCTGGTTTCAGCAACGGTACCCGTAACGGTGCCTGTTTTGTTATTGAATAAGTTAACAATGTTGGACATTAATAATCAGCATAAGCGCACGGTATTAGCTGGCCTTACAGCTGCTAAAAAGATTATTGCATTGAGATGGAAACTTCCTCATTCATTTTCTGTTAAATGTTGGATTCTTACATTTTTGGATGTGATTTTTCTAGAACTGTCTGCTGCTTGAGTTAATGGTGTGAATGAAAAGACTCTCTGTAGTTGGAACACTGTTGCTGAGTCACTGAAAGCCTGGTTGAGATGATCTCTTTTTTTACCTCATTTAATTTTGTTTACTCATTAATTTGAGCTCCTGAACTTGAGTAATTCCCCTTTATTATTATAATTTTTTTCTCCATATGTGTATATTGTATATGTATGGATGTATGTGTGTGAATATTTTATTTATATGTTTCTGTATATGCGTGTGTGTATATGTATATATATTTACGCATATTTTCTTTTGACCGTTTTGTTGTGATTTTGAAATGCCTTGTAATATTTTGTTGTTCTTTTCCTTTTAATAAACATTTGTTGTTCTTTTCCTTTTAATAAGCAGCAGTACTTGGAGAAAGATCTGCTTGTTTGGGGGGTGTTTTGTTCTATCCTGTCCTGTTATCATTCTTTCCGTGTGTGTGTGGATATATGCATGTCCGCTGATGCAGCATTTTAAATTCTTACACTCAGCAGCATGCATATATTGGCTGTATTGTCCATTCCTGTGTATGCTGCTTTGTTGGGGGGTTATCTCATATACGTTATATTTGCAGCAGCAGAGTTTCTTACATGCTCACAGCAGCAGCAGCACGTCTGTGGATGTACTGGCAGTAGCAAATCTCAGCAGCAGCGTAGCAGATCTGTTCCGCCAAGACTAAACACATTAACACAGTCATGTACATTACCATGCAAAACTCTTAGAGAGTTGTCATGACAGAACTGTATTTACAGTACGTTGAAAATGCATACTCCTTTTTCCCCCCCAGATATGGCAAAATATGGCTAAATAAGAACACACTGCAACTTCAGTAGCTCAGATCTAACAACACATTTGACACAGAAGGGTGTGCACATGAAATCATCCAATATTAATCACATTTCATGTAAATTAACAATGCGCATTACATATTATTGTAGAGTAACTTCTTATATGTGTAAATATGCATTTCATGACCCCTTTAAAACTGACTGGATAAGCAACTGAACAAATTATAATAAGTCAGTGTTTACTAATCCCCCTTGTGATTTTTGGCTACAGAAAGTAGATTTTGAGAGAAATAGGCCTTTTGTGTACATAGAAAAAGTCTTAGATCTTTGAGTTCAGCTCATGAAAAATGGGGGCAAAAACAAAAGTGTTGCGTTTATAATTTTGTTCAGTGTATAAGAAAGAGAAACAACATAAAGTATACATTTCAAAAGACATATCGAGTCACTCAAACAAAAATATGTATATATATATATATATATAAATGACATAACAAGCAGTACAGCACATAAAAATCAACTAAACTAAAGAATTGATTGAAAAAGAATAAAATGTGTTTTCCTCAGTCCTGACTTTAAGCCAATTTAGATGATGTGGCGTGACTTAAAGAGGGCTGTGATATCAAGACAGCCCAGAAATACTGACAAACTGAAACAGATTTGTGGGGAGGGAATGTCAAAAAATTATTGAAATTCTTATAAGCAGTTAACAGAAAACCGAAAATTCAGAAAATGGATGTACAAGTTAATAAATTCAAGGGATTTCTTACTTTTTCCACCCTGTACTGTGAATGGTTATTCAACATATTCAGTTAAATTCAAAAGATAAAACTGTTTGTGTTTTATTAACCCAATTTTTGAGTTAACAAAACACAAACTCATTGTTTTATGAACAATTTATGAACAATCAATGCAGAAATCCAGATCACTTCACAGCTTTCACAATCATTCTTGTTATTCTCACACTGTACTGTTTGAAGTTTGCAGCTGTTTAAGTAAAATGTTAGGTTAAATATATTTGTAATTTTGGAGCTCTGAGATATGGATAGTTTACTCCAAAATGACAATTCCTAATAACTAATTTCTCACCCTCATGTCATTCAAAACCATTATTTTCTTTTCTTTTTTCATGGCGCACAAATGGAAATGTTTTGTGAATGTTCTTGTTATTCTTTTCCATATAAATTGCAAATTGAACTGAATAATAAAGATGAATTCAATACACAGATGCGTACAACAATCCCATAGCTGCCTGTTTGTGTAAATGAGGTAGAGACATTGAAACCTCTTGCTGTTGAATGATTTTTTTATTAAAGTGTATATTACAATTAAAGGTATTAAACTGAGCATCATTAAAAATACTTAATCTCATTTACTAAACATTATCATACTGAACATATTTAATCTCGTTTGTTTTGAGTACAATACAATAATACAAAAGCAAATGTAAACAACAATTACACATAAACGGCGTGAAAATAGAATCTCAATTTTAATGTTGCTTTTGGAAGTTTTTGTCCCTTCTCAGTCTCAGATGTCCACAGATCTGTGACTATGCAGTTGTGTTGATTTCCTTTTTGTGTTTAATCTTATTCTAGACTTTGTGTTTAGTTGGCCCAGTCAGTTCAGCTAAAGCTTAGTTGAGTTTTGCATTTTCACTCCTATCAGTTTGTTCTGTTGAGAGAGACACTCATCTGAGAGACATTCATCCTGCGTCTGCATTATACAAAAATTTCTCTGTCATGCAGTCAGTCGAAAGTTTATTTTTTTCTTCCATTTATATTAGTCTGTTTTTGACGGCTGTCATTGTTAAACTTCAAATATTTCAACTATGCCATGAAAGGCCGTGGTTTTGGTCAAAACAATACTTGCTGGACGTAACGTTTCAGTTTATACTGTAAGCTTTATATTTTCTCTCTTTTTGTTCAAGCAATGTATAGCACATAATGTATTAGCCTCAGCCTCAGACGTCATGCACACACACCGTTGGCTGAACGTCTGATGCATACGGCACACAAAATCAGAAACACTTCGGGAGTTTCGAAGTCGTCATCGGATTGGTTGAATTATACAGGAATTCTGGGAGACGTGCGTGTCGCATTCTTTAACGTTAAAAAATCCTGGAAACAAAGATGCCGTGACGCCAAACCCCCTCAAGAAAGAAGAAAGCTGTCGTGTTTACAATTGTGACGATGAGCGCTTATCAGGATCAACGGATTTTCAAAAGTATGTGTAATATTTAAATTTCGCAGCATAGAATCTTTAAAATACGTCCAAGAGTTTTACACACACCGGTCTGTTATTGTAGGGACATTTCCACGCCCCTAAAAATGACGTGGCACAAAACGAAACCTGATTGGTTGCTTTATCTGTCAATCATATGGCCTCTTGGGCGGGCCTTGCCATTCAAAGCGGCCACGGTTCCCAGATCTTCTGCTGTCAGTCTGAAGCTCTGGCTACGTGAGACTAATAATGGCTTTAGTTTGTACACTGTCTGAAGGCAAGATTTGTACACTACATGACTTCAGTGTTTATGGCACATTTATGGTTCCTTATCATAATGCTCTGTTGATGAATTGCATGCACATGACTCATTCCCTATAGGAAGATGTGCTCTCCATGCTCATCAGACGGCCCCTGAGCACAGAGCTGCTGTGCTGGGACAGCTGCTGCTTGAACTCTGTGGTCAGGAAGTAGTAGATGAGAGGGTTGAGGCAGCAGTTCAGGCTTGCTATGCAGAGAGAGATGGGGTGGAAGAGTCGGATGGCCTGACTCGCTGCACAGTTTGTTATAATGCTTTGGGTTACCATCAGGTACAGCAGGAAGTTGATGTGGTAGGGGACGAAACAAAAGAGGAAGACCCCTGTGCACACCCTAACCATGCGCAAGGCCTTTCTCGTGCTACCCGTGGACTGCTGCTTTTGGTTCCTCTGTCTCAAGGAGTTCACTATTAAGTAAGTACAGAAACCAATGATAATTAACGGACCGAGAAATCCCAAGACTTCAGCAGCAACCATCATGGAAACGGCCGAGCGTACATCCAGCTTGCGCATGGGCAGGTCTTTGAAGCAGGTTGTGCTGTTATTTCCAGAATTTGATTTGCTCCTCATTAAAATGAAGGGCGAGCAGCAGAGCCCCACCACCACCCAGACTGCGCTACTGATGCAGATGTCATAGCGTGACTTCCAGTTCCTGGCACAGAACGGCCGCAGGAGAAAAGCACAGCGCTGAATGCTGATGCACACCAGAAAGACAATGCTAGCGTACATGTTAAGGTATTTCAGGTAAAAACACAGCATACATAACATGTTGCCGAAAGGCCAGTCTTGTTGGATGTAGTAGTGAATTCGAAGCGGCAGCGACAGCACATGAGCCAGGTCAGCTATGGTCAGGTTAATCATGAAGATGATGGCTTTGGTCTTTTTGCTGTGAATCGAAGAAAATCCGTAGCATTAGAATAAACCTGCAACTCTAAACAGGCCTCATGAAATACTTCTAAGAAAACCAGACTCTCCTGAACTATTGATCAATACTAAAACAATTACAATTAGCTGAATTAAGGTATTTTGTTAATGGCAAAATATTACTGATTTAATAGGAAATTATGTAGTGACTGTTTTTATATTACCAGCAGGCCTGTCAACTTATGTTTTAAATCTGTCAAAATGTTCAAAAGCTATTGCACCACCTCTGAACAGAGTGACTAGGAAATAATGATAATAATGATAATGTTACACCAACATAATGAACAAACTGTGCAAAAAGATCATGAAATATACAGTGTGTCTTCAGCACAGGGGCTGTTTCCAGTATATAAAAAAGTATAATAATAATAATAATAAAGGTTCTCCAACAGATGCTATAATGACAATTAGACGTTATATTAACCATGAAATACTGACCTTATGAATCGAAACAGCACCCAAAGAGCCAGGGTGTTGCTCAGCAGGCCTGGGATGAATATAATCAGGTAAACGTATGTGTAGAGCTGGTTTATAGTTGTTTCCCAGCCAGTCATGTGAGTGGAACAGGAGCAGTTCACCACTAGACACGATGTGTTCACAAACGTCATGGTGATACTGCGATTTCATTTACAGTAGACAGTAGAAAAGCACTGTGGAAGGAAATGAAGACAACTTTAAAATACAAATTCCAATTCATTCTATGGAGTAATTGCTGCAATATTTGGTATTTTCTTATAGATACATTTGCAATTGTCCCAAAAAGTATTTAGATACTTCAGGAACACATTAATGTTTTTATTGCATTGGATAATAAAAATATCAAAGCAACTGTCACTTATTCTAAAGAAAATAGGTAAACATTTTTATATAAAAAATACTTTATATTTATAAATTATATTTATTAGAATATATATATATATATATATATTAAAATCACTGTCAAATCCAAATGCTGGGTTGCAGATCCATTCAATGTGGAAAAAAGTTACACAAAAAAAGCACACAACGAGGTACATTTATATATGGTACAAGAGGTAAAGAGGTACAATATATATATATATATATCTTTTATGTGAAAACTTATATTCACCTACACGGACCAACACGAGTTTGATATTTGTCAACTCCCTTCCTGTGTAAGCGTGAAGGAAGTGTTTGTGTAACGGCTGTGGGTTACAAGTTTACTCCCCAAAATGTACCTCTTTGTGTGCTTTTTTTGTGTAACTATTTTCCACATTGAATGGATCTGCAACCCAGCATTTGGATTTAACAGTGATTTTAATATATATATATATATATATTACAACATTTTGGTCTTTAGAATCAGTATCTCAAGTAAAGCTGGGTGTGCTGTAAAACTGAAAGCACATGCTGAACAAATGGAGGAACTCGGGTTTCACAAGTATGCAAATATTCAAATTCATTGCTCTCTTTGGTGTGAGCCATTTTATTTCTTGCTGTGAAATAAGAAATGTGTTGCAAACTCTACCACTAAGATGTTTAAGCAACTGTCCTTCAATCATTCTGTGGCTCCAGGAGACGATGTATTTCGTTTCTTCTTCCACCACATAGGGCAGACATAATACAATGATGATTTGACTTTGAAAAGAGCTTTTTAACCTTTAATTAAACTTTGTGATATACAATTAATCAAATACAAGGACAACAACAACACATTTAAATGTTTACCTGTTTTTCCCCTCTAAGATGAAAACGTAAAGCACATTATCATTTGTTTGCTTGCATGTTTGCTTAATCCAGGCATGTCTCAAGTGTGGCTAGAAAGGAAGAATGAGCTGTTATTGCTGTGCGATGCGGTTGGTCCTACCTGTTGGACTGAGCTGAAGTCTGCATGTACGGTATTATTGGTGCTTTCCAGTCCAGCATGCACAGAATGCAACCTGCTGCAGCAGGAGGAAGTTATCTGAATGTGACGTGCCCTATAATTGCTATGTTATTCTTCAGCTACACCAGAAGTATAAACAACCTGTGACGTCTCAGGAAAGTGAAAATGATTCATATCTCTGATGCAGGGAATGTCTGATGTTTTTGATAGCAGTCAGTTAGTTCTGAAGTTACATAGCGTGATGAGGGCTGCAGATGACCCTACATACGCCAGTGTCTGTACTGATAATCTAAATTACAACTGAAATAGCAGACAAACAAATGGTAACTTTTTTTTTTTTACTAATTACATTAAATGGTTACAAATTTGGCAGACACTGTTAACCAAATTAAAGTTCATGCAAGGCATAAGTGTTCTCTAAGAACTGAATCCAGGACCTTGACCTGATTAGTTCCATGCTCTAGCTAAGGGACATGATTAGTTTAAACATGCATAATTTGGTATCTTTCACTATATTGCTATGATTACAGATGGGACGTCTTGCACCATGTGTCATAATGTAACCAAACCAAAAAGATCCCATCTGAAGACAAAATCTCTGAAGCCACACTATGAAGAGTTCCTAACAGCTATTTCCTTTGGCCTTATAACACCTACGACATATACTTAAAATCACTCATATTTGCTCCAGTTGTTATCATTTGTAAATTGCCTTTGAATGTTCTTCAGAAGCTCAACTGTCTTTCTGTAAATCTTTCTGATAACAGGCCTAAAATGTTAATTTAAAAGGAGTTAAGTAATGTGACATAGCCATAGTGTAAATGCACTTGGCATGTATTAGTTCCTCTCACATGTCAATCTTGGCTTTCTTTTCTTGTTGTAAGTCACATCAAATGATATGGTCCAATCTGTGAATCATTAAAATGAACCCCTACAAAGATCAAAAATGTCTTTGACAAAAGTGTATGCAACACAGCATAAAGCATTATTTAGCACTGCTTCATTAAATATTTAACTTCCACCCAGTTCTACTATGCATTTAATAAATGAAAGTCATTATAAGTACTAATATCAATACTTTAACCCCTTGCCAAGCCAAACACCTTTCAGGATACTGAATGGCTGACTTCCTGTTAGGTGGAGCTAATGACTGTAACTCTGAAAGTTTTACGGTTCTAAGAGAACAATATATTTACTGAGTTTGGTGACTGCAGGTAAAACTGACCCCATTTTATTTACCACATACCAAAAATAAAACAGATCCACTTGCGTCATAAAAGAAAAACATGTAAAGGTGGCCCAGCTATATAAATATTTACTTGATGATAATTTTAACTTTGAGGTAAACACTGATGTTATTTGAAGAAAAGATCTTCAGCATATGCATTTTCTTAGGAAATCCAGTAGTTTTAATATAAATGTCTCTTTTATTAAAATGTTGTATACAATTATTTTATTGAATCCATACAGAAACAGAGTTATGAGTAACTGCGATGAGGCCTGTGCACAAAGAGAGCATTAAAAAGGGTAACGACGAGGGAGATCCTCTTCTGACAGCCTTCGATCACTACTCCATCTAATAACCCCTAGAGGACGCAGTTCGAAGTTCCCATGAAAGGGAACCGCAATGCAGTGAAATAGTGCAGTGTATTGGAAGGACTGGTTTAAAAAAGGCCTAAAAACAATCAATGATTAATACGGGCACAGTGCACCTTATTCATTTCAGGAGTTGAAAGACAAGTTCAAATTACTGGATACAGGGGATTTTTGGAAATATCTCCAATTAAATAGCAGTATAAAATCTGTTGGATATAAGCCAGGAGGAGAAGAAAGTGACTTAATACAATTTTTTTAACTCTCAAGTTCAGTACAAACATCCTCTGTTTTATAGAATGGCTGTAAACAAATTGTATGGGAAAAGTAACAATTTAAGAATAATATGAGAGAAAGATTTGGATGTGGAATGTGAAGAGGGAGGCCATAATGTCTTGTGTAGGGGGGCCGATGAAGGATATTAGAAGCAAACTCATACACTACAAAATAACTCATCGATATTATTGGACACCAGTAAGACTTCATAAGTTAGGTTGAATGCAGGGTAATCTTTGTTGGAAATGTGGTCGCTCTATTGGCACTTTTCTGCACCTAATGTGGGACTGTCATTTGGTGGCTTCATTCTGGACAAGAGTCATTCAGACCATTGAGAAGTGGATGGAGCAGCCTATACCTTGCTCTCCAAGATTTTGTCTTCTTGGAGACATAACTGTTCTACAGAAGGAAATATCTAAAGCGCAGGCTGGTCTAGCTGTTGCTGGATGCATTACGGCTGCGAAATTGGAAGAGCTCAGACACTCCGTCTTTCAAGGATTGGATTGAGTTTATGACTTCTAATGCATCATATGAACAAATGCTGGCAAAACTTACGAACTCCACCTATGCATTCAATCAGAAATGGGTTGGCTTTCTGAATTATTTGGAAAACAAGTAGAATCCTAGCTATATAAGTGTAATAATAAGTATTACACTTATTATTCTGGTTAGAAAATTTTCCGACTTTGATCGGCGCTGCAGCCGCCTTACGATCACATGTGCCATCAAAGTACCGCGAGAGCAAAACGAGACCATCTGCCGAGGTCAGGCGCTGCAGTTGCTCAAAATCGGCTGTGAAAGCCTTGATAACGACACGGTTTATTCTCATTGGTCAGATTCTGCAATGACAAAGACGACATGTTGCGTATTTTTCTTAGACAAGTTCCTGTATTTAACCAATATTGAAAATCGCGTGGTCTGCAATAAATGACGTTGGTTCAGCACACTACGGAAAGCACGAAGTGTCCGACTGGAAGATCTCGCCAGCTAGTGTAGTTCATCTTGAACAAGCCTATTGTATTGCAGGCGTCTTTTGTAATCTTGTGTAGCCCAACCACACATTGGTGGGCGGAGTTAGTGTAAATAGCCTCAGCCAACAAGGCGGGCTATTTGCACTTAGTGTCTATAGACCAATTTGGTGTGATGACATTTTTGTGGGCGGAGCCTATCTGGTGGCAGAAAATGACAGTTTTAAAGTAGCAGTCTATGGAAGCCTTGGAATAAAAGAAAAATAAAAGGTAATTTTGAGTTTATATTTCAAAATTCTGACTTTTTTTCTCACAATTCCGAGATTATATTTCACAATTCTGATAAGAAAAATCAACTCGTCATTCTCTCTTTTCCCCTCGGCTCAGAATCATGAGTTTATTATCCCAAACTTTCCCCCCAAAGAATTGCCAAACTTGCAATTGTTGAGTTAAATTGAGTTATAAAGTCTGAACTAGGAGATATAAACTTGCATTTGCGAGAAAAAAAAAGTCAGAATTGTGAGATAAAATAGGTAAATGTTATAGTTTTAAATATTTGGCTATTTCATGCAGTAACTGTAGGGCTAATACAATGTCCCCTATTAACTGCATATGTGAATATTATATAGACCTATTTGTAACGTCGTTTGTAGTCACGGGAAGAAGGAGGCGGGAACCGGCGAACACTCAAAGAAAACTTTAATAATAAAATAAACACAAAATAGCGCGACAGCCCCTCGCGGACGACTGCCGCGCACAAACGAAACCAAAACACTGTCGCGCATTAGCATTTCCTCCACCGGCCTCGCTCCGTTCCCACGGCTCTCGGCCCCCGCCCCTCTCGTCACACTATTGTTTAAATCAAATTTATGCTTTAAAAGTAGGGTAATCATAGCAAGTTTCATCCATAGTCTGTGCGTTTAAACGTCTGCATTTAGCTTCAAATGGCGTCTTTGACGACTGTATTCTATAAAAATTATTTTCATTCAGATTCGGACATCCAAAGGCACAACAATACATTTTCTTCACTTATTCCATGGATTTTATCAATTTTCCTCAACTTGTTCTCAGTGTTTTTCTGCCACCACAATGCGCGCGCAGCTGCAAGTGATGTAACTGTGACGTCTGGTCCAAATTGGTCTATAGACACTCCATTAAAACATTAAAGGCATGATCGACTGCAGTAGGTAGGTTAAATGATGCTGCTGTCACATTAATGAAATGCACAGATTCAGTATACCGACACATATCTGGGGTTTCACCTAAACATTTATCTTGACTCCAAACATTACTGACTGTTTTTAAGTCAAGTGAATTTTGAGATAACTATCTGTATTTGACCATTCAAGCGTTATAAGCCACGGAAGAGAACAGAACTGTAGGATGATCACATTCAGTCTGAGAGAGGCGCAGCTTTCTGTGTCTATTGTGCTTCACTCATTTCAACACCACGCGTATCTTTATTCCTCATTCATGCACGTTTCTTTATCAAAGTGTCAATAACTTTAAGTAGTACTGTGCTATGAGGATATTGTGCTACAATAGCCACTTCATATCATCGCCACGACATGGTCATATATCGCCCAGCCCTAGCTAACATTAAAGGGTTAGTTCACCCAAAAATGAAAATTAGCCCATAAATTACTCACCCTCAAGTCATCCTAGGTGTATATGACTTTCTTCTTTCAGACGAATCCAGTCTGAGTTATATTAAAAATTGTCTTTGATCTTTCAAGCTGTTTCATGGCACTCAGCGGGTGTTGCATGCATCAGTCCAAAAGCAGTTAAATAAAAAGCACCCATCCATAAAAAAACAGTGTCTCACACGGCTCCGGGGGGTGAACAAAGGCCTCCTGTAGCGAATCGATGCGTTTTTGTAAGAAAAATATCCATATTCAAAACGTAATAATCACTTTAATCTAGCTTGCGCTCACTGTTGTACACAGAAGCAGCTCCGGGAGGATGACGTATGAGGTCGGAGTTGCGCATGCGCTGGTGAGTCTCGTGAAAACCAACAGTTGTTTACAGGATCAAAAGAAGCAAAGTTTCCTTACTTTAGCAAAGGAAAACCAGTGTCCTCTT